CAGAAAGATTCCGGTGCCCCCACTGGGACGCGAACCGGCAAACCATCACAAGATGAATTTGTTTATGTAAACAGGAAGCATTTTCATCCAATCAATTTACAGATTATCTGTGATGCACAAATGTAATTAAGCAACATTGTTACGAGGTGGCAGACCAACAGCATGGTTGGGAACAGGCTACAAGCCGGCATGGTGCAGGATGGGTGGCTTCTTGGTGAGTAAATCATTTAATTGTCCTAATATTAATTCCCCTGACATACGTTAAGTATGTGCGGGCATCAGCAGCTGGCTGTTGTGGTGGACCGGAGGATTGACTGACGCCAGGGAGGCTGGAGGAATCCCACGGGTCTGTGATATGAAGCTGGGACTGCGTCTCACAGTCTTCTCCTGCCTCATTGTCTGTTGGAAAATAATAAATTGAGTAATTAAACATGAGACAAAGTCTTTGATTTCGTCTTTGATATCCTGGCATGATTACACAAGAACCTGTATCTTGTTTGGCTGTGAGCAGATTATTGTATGACCCATATAATGAATAAATTTGTGAGTTACACAATAAATATTTATCTTGGGGGTGATCCGAGTGACCCACGTGTACTCCCACCACCCCTGTGAGAGCAGTGTCACCCACAATAGTGGTGACTCTCCCCTGAAACGGGGTGAGTTCATCATGGTTACTGTAATCTGATCATGCAGAGAGGGGAATCCCACCTGTCGGCCCTGTTTATACTAATTTGCATATTTAAATTACGGGCGTGGAGAGGGAGGAGTCTGGTACTGCAACATGTGCAATCAATTCCACGCTGAGTGGGATATACAAAGGAAATGTGCTTGGATTCAGGTGTATGGTCACTTTCGTTCATCTGGATGTTTATGTGGATTGAAGCGTACGTCAGGTTTCGATATGAAATCCACGCAAGTCTTTGTACATGAGGCCCCAAGACTTTACTTTGATACTTTTAACTACTACTATAGCTTACATGTGGGTGAAATTTTTCATGCAGGATTTTACCTGTAACAGAGTATTTTTTACTTTGCTGTATTGGTACTGGACTGCAAGGTGGATCGGTGGTAAGCACCATTGCCTTGCGGCTAGAAGGTCGCCGGTTCGCCTCCCGGTGAGGGCACCGGGGTCTTTCTGCGTGGAGTTTGCATGTTCTTCCTGTGCAGCGTCTCTCTGGGTTCTCCGGCTTCCACAGTTCCAAAACATGTTGAGGTTAATTGGTGATTCTAAATTGTCCGTAGGTGTGAATGAGAGTGTGCTTGGTTGTCTGTCTCTAAGTGTAGCCCTGTGATAGACTGGCGACCTGTCCAGGGTATCCCCTGTCTTCGCTCTAAGTCAGCTGGGATAGGCTCCAGGTGGTGTATAGATAATGGATGGATGTATTGGTACTTTTAGCTACGTTAAGGACCTGAAACCTTGCCAGATCTGCCAGAAACTTGGGTATCATGATTGATGACCAACGAACCTTCAAGGCTCATGTGGCCTCTGTTGCTCGGTTGTGTCGATTTGCCCTATACAACATCAGGAAGATCAGACCTTTCCTGTCTGAACATGCAGCACACCTCCTGGTACAAGCTCTCATAATGTCACGCATTGACAACTGCAACTCCTTACTGGCAGGCCTCCCCGCATCCACAGTCAAACCTCTGCAGATGATCCAGAATTCAACAGCACGTCTGGTTTTCAACCAGCCAAAGGCAGCCCATGTCACCGCGCTTTTCAGATCACTTCACTGGCTTCCAGTTGCTGCCCGCATCACATTCAAAACCCTGACACTTGCTTGCAAAACCACAATGAGAACAGCTCCCTCCTACCTGAACTCTCTCATTCAGATCTACAATGCTTCCCACTCACTACACTCGACCAACAAAAACCGCCTGATCCAACCACCACAACAGGGCCGGAAGTCGATAGGTAGACTCTTCTCTGTGGTTCAATCTGCTCACTCCCTCTTAGTCTTTAAGAAGACTAAAGACCAAAGACCAAGACCATTTTAAAAGTCCTTATTTTTGAGGACATGATACAGTTTTGTTCAGCCAAACAATTCAAAGTATGAAGTCAAGCATTTTATCTACTTTAGAGACTTAAAGAAAATTCAAATTAATTAAATTAAATTGAACACTTAGATTCAGTCCAGCGTCCACCTTCCTGTGGATCTTTTTTAAAAAAAGTATTATTCATAATATACAAAATACAAAATAAACATTCTTACTTAAAATAACAAAAAAGATCTTTAGAGTTCGTCTGCTACGTGATGACGTCACTGTAACCTGACGTACGCTCGGACTTTATCCACTTTGGCGGCATGTGGCAGTTCTTCAGGTAACTTTAATTGAATTTTATTTTCACACCCAGTATCGCCGCGTTTTGTTACAGTCGACTTGTCTGAAGGTGACGGTGGGACGTTTTAATCGTTAACGTAAAATACGCGACAATTAACGTCGGTGTGATAGGCGAGTTGATGTGAATCAAATGTGATGATGCGCAGGTGAGCAGGTGGAGAGCTCGTGCCAAAAAGTAATCATCAGAGCAGCTAATTTTATATCTTTGCATTATTTTACCCGCACTGTGGCCTGGAATGTGACAATTTGTTTTTGTTTTAATTATTTTTAACGGTAAATTGGATTAAAACAGAGTGGTTTTTGTTTTGCTCCTCTAATAGAACATTGTTTGCAGCGTGGCGTTAATACAGGCATGAACTGATTTAATCACTGAAGTAAGCAGAAAGATAAGGCTCCACCGTCAGCCCACAAAAACTATTTATTATTAGAGAGATATTATAATAGATTGTTTAGTTTGGCCAATGCAAAGATATGTCTGTTTTTAGAAATCAATCGAATCAATTAAATGCAAATTATGTTAATAATTTAAAAAGATAATAGGAATAAACTGATCTGCCACGTTTCATTCAGATAACCAAAATATACAGAAACTACACAAAGTAAAAATTCGAACCCTCTGGCTATTTAGATCATTAGATTTAACCTCTGACCTCTAACTCCCACATGGATGGAAATTTGTTTATGGAACCATATGAAAAACTAACATTCAGAAGATTCACCTGCAACTAGTTTTTCTAAATATGTAAATTAACAAACTTGATCGAAGTTCACATTCACGTTTGTCAGCTCAGTTACCAGAGAAGGAAAGTAACTAAAAACTATGACTCTACCCGACTCGTTCAGCAGAACAGGCTCTTTATTTCTGTTAGAACATAAAAGACACTCAATGAATTAACAAATTAAGTTATTCAAATTGGTTAGGCATTGTGGTTAAAGCTCCAAAAGTCTTAATCTGTGGATTAAAATCACAACAATTTTTTTGAGGACTGAATACACCGGCACCCTCCTTCCTGCGTTTAGTTTGTCACCTTGTCTCCCTTTTCACTTTTTGTTCAGTTTTCAATTAGAAGTGTTGTCTTGTGTGCTTATTTTCAGTATAATTTTGTGTTTTGTTACTATTTTGTAGTCTTTTATCGTGTTTTTTTTTTTTGTCATTGTTGTTGTTCTGACCTGCAAACGGAACTACATATGCAAATGCAAATATGTAAAAGTTGTCATTTTGAAGCTTCAAAAGTATATTTGCCAAACTGTCCACACTTTCTTTTTTAACAAGTTGTCTTCAGAAATGTTTTCGCAGCCATCATACATTTTAATACCGTATTTAAATAACTCCAGTCTGATGTTTAACTGCACTATAGAGACAAGCTATGAGCTTCCTTGTGCAGCACCAGACGGTACTGTCAGTGCTTCATTCATTTACATTTTTTCTGAACACGTAATTCCTCCTGCTCCTTCCAGAATGTCACCTGCAGGATATTTTCAAGGCTCCATCCTGTTCCTTAATTGTATTATCCATAAGCATTCTGTTCCTCTGCCGCTATGTGAATGTTGCACAGTTTTATCTCCCATTATTTGTTAATGGTTTGCACAAAGGACCTTTTTAGGTGTAAATGTTAAAGAATATCTTCCAGTTAAATGACAAAAACTCTGTTCTTTTTGGTCCCTCTGCCAATTATTATAAAATCTTCTAAACCCGTCACTAAGAATCAATAGATGTTCAGTTTAACTATTGAAACATGGCTTTGGAGTTCTTGTTGTAGATTCCACTGGTGCTTTCTTTACTTTACAAATGTCTCTTTCATGCCAGCAGTATTTCCAAGGTCCTGCTGTAACGCTCTTAAGCCAAATGTAGAAACCACTTCACCTTGATTTGACCTTTGCGCAAATTGCATGCACTTTACATCGTTGTTGAAATTTGTCAAAGCCTACTGATTTATTACCTTCGTGGCACCCTTTGGAGTTACATAATTTCATTATGTTAAGTTGAACATTTTCAGAGATTTTAACACTTGCTTGATGATGATGTGACCCTCAACTACATGCTGCATTTGGCCGTTTTAACCTCTTGCATTTAGAGGTGCTCAGGTCAAATCCTTCACTCTATTAACAGTGATGCAAAGCGAACTTTCTTTATAAAAACCTCTACAAAAAGTCATTTTTAATACAGTGCTTTTAATGTATATACGTGGAGTAGACTGATTCATGTTCTATAATTTTTCTGTTATTTTTTAATGCTTGTTTAAAAAACAAAAGAAAAAAAAAAGAAATGGACGAGTTGTTATTACTTGGCCCTATTAGTGATGCTGTTAGAACACACACTGTATACATGCATGCATACTACATGTGACATTGTACACTGCAGGGCTTTTAGAGGGAGAGACAGAAGTTGGCACCGATTAAGTGCCATCTGCTGAAAATAAGCAATGACAAATTGAAGCCAGCAGAGCTTAAAGAACTGCTTTATCATTATTACCACAGCCATCAGCTACATGGCACATGCGTGTTCATGCACTTCTGTGTGTGAGATACTGTCACACTTCATCTCATTTGTTATCTGATTGATGCGCTTTACAGTTAACGACACCTCCGTTGTGTTTAAGTGACTTGATGAGTATCTAGAATGCACATGTCCACACTGTTTACTCTTTTCAGACTTTTTTTTTCTCCATCAGTCCACAGGTTCAGTGTCAATGTGGAACCAGGTACCAAGCTGGAAAGCGGCCCTGCCTCCCTCCACCTGTGCAACAATCTCCTAGTCCTCACCAAGGGCCTCCCTCCCGTCGTCATCGGCCACTGGAAGTTGTCGGCGTTGCGTCGATACGGTGCCGTGCAAAATGGCTTTGTGTTTGAGGGGGGAACCCGCTGTGGATACTGTGAGTAACTGCTGGACTGAGAAACTTTCATTTATTTACTCTTCAGGCTGCAGCCAGAAAGGGCAACGCTTTAATAATAGTGACTAAAAAATTATTACTAGCAGTGTGCAGTGTCTCACATCCTTGCTCCGTCTTGTTATTGCTATTATTTTTTGTGCTCTGCTTGCTGAAACTAGATGATCCGAGGTCATGGGTGCAAGAACATAACTTTGAAGTCAATCCCTCAGAATCAAAGAGCCTTATCTCAATTTTCAACAATCAGGAAGAAATCTTTGACTGCAGGCACCAAGAGATGTTTTATTTTGCATAAATGGTTCACAAGCAGAGGGAAAGAGTGCAGAGTTCTGAAAATGGAATAAAACATAGCTGGTTTCACTCTTTGTGAAAAGTATGCAACATTCTGGTTTTACTTGATATTTCTTATGTGGGTGTACTTTAAATGATAGCGTCACATATGTAGAAAGTGCTTCTAAGTTAACAGAACAGGTTAACATTTATAAGAGCTTCTTCTATGTTGCATGATCTTCCTCTGCAGATAAAACCTGCCCAGTTGTCCTGAAATTGTAAATGTTCAAATAGTCACTTTTTTTTTTTTTTTTTTTTAGCATTTATTGCACTTTCTCATCATTGTTGATTTAAAAGGTTAAACTTTTGAAGTTTACCTTGGCAACAGTAGCTGAGAAAAGCTCTATTTAGTTGTTGTTCTGCCACTTGATTTCGATCACATCACATGATCTTTATTTAAACTCCAAAAATCAACTGATTGAACCAGCTTTTGATACTGTTTTTTTTTTTTTTTTGTAGAAACCGTATGTCACAAATACTGTATATTTAGTAGGTTGAATTGTGGTCTGAAAGTCAAAGTGTAATCATGCACAGCCAGCTCCATCTCCCTGCCGTGTAAGTGGTGCAGAATAATTTGGCTGCTTCCTTTATCATTCTGTTATCAGGGTAAAAAAAACAAAAAAACAAAACACTCTGGCTTGTTTTTATTTCTTAACACATCACACTCCTCTGGGATGGTGCTTACCCCAGGCTGCAGCAACGGTGCCCCAGAATATAGTGTTGGGGGGAACTTGTTTTGATGGAACATTTGCCTGCAGGCAGGTGAGCACCGTCATTCAAGAAGAACAGATCATGTGAAATTGGAGCAAATGTTTATTGCAGAAACATGAGCATGCTAAATCAAGTATTTTGGCACTTAGACTGAATTAGGTGAGAGGTGATATCATAGTGCGCAATCACAGATGAAGGTAGGAGTTGAGGACAGGACCCCCTTGAGTGTAGACACTGGTGGTGGAGTAAAGTTTACAGATGGCTGATGAAGACTGGCTGAGATGTCCTGGACAACCCTGGTGAGGTGAAGCTGAGAAGAAGGAGGGATGCATGATAAATGGCCTGGAAGGAACAGTGACAGAACCACACTTAATTAAAAAATCAGGGTTGGCTGGTGGAAGATTTACTTGGAGAACACGGGTAGATAGAGCATTAGACGAAAGTCGTGACATTGAATTGAGAGTGAGGTGATTCTGACAGCGTGGGAAAATGGAAGTGACGAGGAGAATTTAGAACGGAATGTGAGTGAAGAGATCTTCCTTACTGAACTTGCACGCAAGCTTATTTAAAATGACTAATTCATGGAAAGCACCAAGCTGCCCTGCTGTGTTGCACAAATCAAATTTCATTAAAAATGTACCATTTTCACGGTGTAGGTTGCTGCTCAGAGGTTGTTGTTTTGGTTTACCATCACAAATGGGGTGTTGATACCTTTACCTTGCAAATACATGACAGGGAGAAGAATGCTGTGTGAAATGTGCTGCACAAATGGCAGGCTTATACCGAGAGTCTAAATCCAATATGTAAGACTTTTGAAAGATTAAAGGCGGTGTGTTTATATAAATTTTTGATCACATCTGTCCTCCAGAGTCTCCCCTAGGATGTTGTAGGAACTCACGATCTGAAGGCTTGAAGGACACAACCAAAAGGTCACAAAATCCAAGTCAATATGTTCAATCGTCAAAGCCATATGTTCAGCATAAAAGATAACGTAAAACTTTATTAATCCCAATGGAAACTCTTGACGGGCAGATGGAGCATTAGACCTGAGTAGTGATGTTGAAAATGAGAGTGAAGTGATTCTGACAGCGTAGGAAGAAGTGTGAGTAGTGGTGAAATACAAGTGATCAGATCTTCCTGATTGAACTTGCACATAAGCTTTGTTAAAAGGGTTAGTTCACTGAAGGAACAAAGAGGGCCTGCTGTATTGCACTTTCGTATCTTTGTCAAAACTTGTCATTTTCAAGGTGTAGGTTGCTGCTCGGAGGTTGTTGTTGTTTTGGTTACTGTAGCAATGGAGATTTTGAAAACCAATGTAGGAGAGGAGTGCAGTGGGAGATGTGCTGCACAAATTTCAATCTCATACATCTACATCTACATCCAGTAAGTCAGACTGTTGAAGTTGACTTTTGATCACGTCTGTCCTCCAGAGTCTCCCTTAGAGTGTTATACCAACTCACTGATGGAAGAGTTGAAGGATAAAACCAAAAGGTCACAAAATTCATGACAATGCACTCAACCATCGGCGACAGATGCTTGGCATAAAAGACGAGATAAAACTTTAATAATCCCAATGGAAACTCTTGATTGGCAGATGGAGCATTAAAGTAGGGACACTGAAATTGAGAGTAAGATGATTCTGACAGCGTGGAGGAAGATGGGTGAATAGAGGCAAAATGTCAGTAATCATATCTTATTTAATGAATTTGCTCGAAAACTTAATTAAAAGGGCTAATTCATTGAAAAAAAACAAGCAGGCCTCTCTTATTGCGTGATCCAAAACTTCGTCAAAACTTGTAATTTTCGGGGTGTAAGTTTCTACTGAAAAGTTCACTTATTTGTTTCTCATAGCAAAGAGGATTTTGACAATTGTAGTGTGCAGATAGTGGACAGGAAGAAGAATGTAATGTGAAGTGCGTTGCACAAATGGCAGGCTTATACCCACAGTCTACATTCAGCGAGTCAGACTATTGAAGGACTAAACTAGGTGTGTTTTTGATCACGTCCGTCCTCCAGAGTCTCCCCTAGAATGTTGTGGGAAGTCACTGTCTGAAGGGGTTGAAGGACAAAACGGAAAGATCACAAAATCATGACAATACATCCACCCGTCAAAGACAAACGGTCGGGTATGAAAGTAATTTAGTTTGAACTTCAAAATCTAACCAACCATTAAGTCTTTGGACCAGTAACAGTCGATATGATATACATTCACTGCAGCAAAGTCATCTAAATCCCCCTTATTAAAAGCCTCTTCTTAGATAAATAAATCCTCCTTTTCATTTCTCCGTAGTGCTCATAGGTTAATAGAGCTGTCACTCAAACACACTCTGCAATATGAAAACATGTGATTTATTGCAGGTGTTTATAGAGTAACTTTATCCATGTCAGACATGACTTTCCCCTTGCGAACCCTCCACACTGTACACCTGCCCACCAAGTACTGCTGTGTGTTTGTGTGGTTGCCAGGGTTTAGCTATCCTCTGAATGTACAAGTGATGTGGGCATGAATGTAAAGAATGACAGGCAGCTTTATGTTTTTGGGTGGAGATGTGTGTGTGATAGAGAGAGACACACAGACGACAAGGAAAGTGTTTTATGACGGGGTGTTTAAAGGTTTCGTTATAGAGAAACTTAACCCTCTGAACCCCCAAACCTGCCGACGGTTTGAAAAGCATGCTATATTTTTAAAAAAATCACCAAAATTACATTAATTCACAGAGACTGAAGCTGTAAAACCAGGAAAAATTCTGCAGATGTTCACCAGTTTTATGGTCCTTTAACCCCTAGTTTGTAGTGTGCAGTTTGGTTGGTGAATCATCCAAATCTAGGCTTAAAATTCTGACATTCAACTGAAATTGCTTTTGTCTCCATGTCTTTTTTCTTTTTTCTTTAAATGCATAAAAACATACTGCTTGCACCAACAAGATTCTGTAAAAAACAAAAATTTCTGCCATCATGAAGACATTAGTGACTCAGCTGCAACCAACAGTCACATAACAAAAATGCAGGAAATTTTCAGCTGTGCAAGATTAAGAATGTAATTAATAAAATATCTAAAGTATGTTGAGCTACCATTATTTTATGCCATCACTGGTAACACCTCCAGGGACTTTAAAAATGTTGTGTGTGTTATTTTCTTCAGCTTCTTATTTTGTGATTTATGACATTATAACTTTGTGATACTGCACAAAGGCATTTTTGGGTTCTCTCTAATTCTAGTTGCGGTTGTGCTGTTTCCATAGAGGTGCAGGACTTTATATTGCAATGAAAAATTAGCCCACGATGAGAAAAAAAAAAAACGTGACAGGAGCAAATAACACCCAGAAACTGTTTGGGATTCAGAGGGTTAACTTGCTAACAGCTGCTGTGTTTCTTATTTAGGTATCTGAAAATAGTTTCTAGTTGTTCTGTACAGTGAGAGCTACCTCCTTACTGTGATATATTGTTGTAGAGATGTTCCAATGATAAGTGAACATATTTAAGTTCCTGCAGGCACTTTTGCAGCGTGTGTGTGTGTGTGTGTGTGTGTGTGTGTGCGTGCATGTGTACAAGAATAACCATGAGCTCTATAGGATCTAGTTTCAGTGTTCTGATGTGCTTGATCTATAAATACCAGTCCCCCTCCTGTAGTGGAGGCTTAGCCAACCACAAAATGTGTGGTGGCCACACATCCAATCACAGTCTCCTCATTCGCCTCGTCTACATTATTACCCATCAGACACAGCGGCAGCAGAAAGAGGCCCACTTAGCGTGGCAGCAGAAAATGAGAGAGATGTGAGAGTCAGGTTGGCAAGTGGCATTCCTTGCATGGAGTGCAAGGTAAAGCAGGGTGTTAGTTTACATTTTTACATGTTTATTTGTATTTGGTGAGCGCGCGTGACACATTCCAACACTAGCAAATAGTTTTATGCCATGCAGACTTTTAACCTTTCATGCAAACACGAAAAAACCTTGCCAATGACTTGCTCTATAAAACTGCTCAGATAAACTGGAGTGAAAATATTTAGTGCAACATAACTTATATTGGAGCAGAAACAGAGGTTTAGAATAAGTTAAAAATGGTGTCATCAAATAGTTTGACCAACAGAGTGGCTCCAGGTATTTGTAAAACCCCTTTCAGACATACACGTCTTTCTGTTAATCTGAGACAAACTGAACATGTCAACTTCATGTCTCAGTTAGCACCTTGACCACTTTTCCATAACATTTGCGACAGCAATCTTATTAGATCCCAGTAACAGTTCTGTATTACTGACAGCTCGGCTCAACAGTTCACAAGTCTGAACTGCACTCAGTCACATTAACAGATAAGCACACACAAGCCACAGTACTTTGAGTTGTGTGAAGTGATTAGGGGATGGCTTTTAGTACCACTATTTGTGCAAAAAAAATCACAGATGTAGTTATACAGTTATATAAGATTTTTGCTTAAGATGGCCTTTTGATAAGCAAGAAAAAGCCATGTTCCTGATTAACGTTAAATCCACCTAAAAAAAAAAATAAAATAGGTTAGCAACGAATCTGTAGCAAGAATTTCATATCTACCTTGATAATGTAAAGACTATATAGTTTAGTTGAGAAGACATCATATGAACTTCACGTAAATATAAAGAAAACAAATCATCATTAGTAAATATTACCCTTATTAGAACAGAATATAGAGTTTGATTCCAGCTCCGATATATAATTCAGTTAATGTCTCACCCTTTTTAAATATATTTGTGCAAAATATGTGTCTATGCATATATGTTTTTTGCAAAAAAAATTGGAGACGTTAATTGAAGTATGTATCAGAGCTGCAACCAACTAGTTTGCGCTGCATGTTGTATTCTATGTCCTATTTTATATATATATATGTATAGTCTGTAAAATGCCCCAAAAAATGCCCAAAAATCCAATATTGGTTAGACTCTAACAAATATATTACCTTCTTAATAGCAAACATGGTCTCTTTGCTTAGCAGAAGTGCAGAATCAACCAAACAATGGCTACTTATTTGTCTACTTTGGAAGGGTTAGTGATAGAAATTAACATGCTTAAGCTGGAAGTCATATAAAACATATCCGGTAACCATAACCAGAATAAATTCTACTGCTTATCACCCCACTTTTAATCACATCTTCCGATTTTCTTTGTTGTTTCCTGTGTCACCAGTCCTTTGTGCTTCTCTACTGATTTCAGGAGCTCCTCAGCACATTGTCCGACCAGCGCAAAGATGTGCAAATAGTTGGGAATACTTATGCTAATAGAGACTAATAGTTCTGTATTGGTTTGCACTTTTTGAACCGGTACCTAATAAAATATCTTTTCTCAGTGGCTTAATTTCCCTTGAGACTGCTTCGCTCTAGTGAACCAGTAAAAAGTTCCTCTGTCATCCAATGCTGCTCTACTGGGCTTTTTGCTGCAGCTGCATTTTGAAAGTCAGCTGCGCCTCAGATGATACGAATTCTGGCTGCATCGTTGAAGGAGTGCACCACGATGACATGACAAGCCTTTTTACTGCCGTGGATTCACTCATGAATGCACGCATACGCTCCCTGACAGCCGACCAGCCGCTCCTTTGGGATAGCAGGCGGTCCTGTTGTGCAAAGTCTTTCACTACAGTAGACAGTAATCACTTGAGCTGGGGGTCTTCATAGATGTCTGTTGGACGTGAGCCTTTGATTGCACAGTCGCAATTTGTAGCAGTGTTCAGAGTGATATCAGAGCTCCAGCTTCTATTAGATGTGATAATGAGGCCACTGTGTTCTGTAATCGATGATATTTGGAGCAGAGCCCACGTCTTAGCCGGACGGATATTTTCTGGCTTATCAGGTCCACACGTGTTTGTATCGACCCTGTACAAACCACACAAACTCACACACACCCACACATCTTTAGCGCACACTTGCAGGCACAGTAATAAATGATCCTCTGCAGAGTTTGGACGGCCATCAAGCCCCGTGATCTAGATAAAAGCAATTTTAAGCTGACATGCTATGTCAGCAATCTTTCCATGTCGGTCAGTGCGTATGAAAGCACATGCCTCCTCTTGTAGTATGTTGATGCACGTGTGAAGTGCTAGGTGTTGCGCATTGCATGCCTTAAGACTATTATACAGCACTTTTTGCCGCAGTGTTATTCTTAAGTTAAAGATTCTCTGCTTTCAACATCAGAGGGTAAATGGAAGTTAAATCCAACTTTAGCAGCTCTTTTGTCGGGTGATATTAAGGTGTCAATGACCCTCAGAGGTCACAGTGTCTCTGACTCTCCACCTGTCATTACCAGTGATAAAGTATCTGCAGTGGAGAAGCATCTTAAAGACAAAACAGGTTTTGATTTATTACAAGACACTGCCAGTCAACTTATATTAATGTGTAGTGGGTGGAAGTCTGTGAACCCGTAAGATCAACACCATTCTCATGTACGTTTTGCTTGGAATAGTTCTACTCCATTTAGTATAAAGCACCACGACCACGACAGACAAGAAGATAAATGTGCTTGTTGTGCTGAACTTTAATGCAGAAGAACTTGGCATGCTTATGAGACATGGGGGCTGTACAGTGAAGCAAGATGAATGGGTTAGTGAGGTATGTTGAGCCTAAAGAGATTTCATTGTCATGGAGGTGGCTCTCCTTTAACCTGCTAGGTCACCATGGTAACTGATGCTGCAGAGCTAACCTGCTTTGGAGGAGGTTCTGCTTTGAGTTTATGGTTTAAATCTGCTGTAAGCTTTCCTGATCATATTCTCTACAAACATTACACACTCTCAGCTGAAGGAATATATTACATCTGCCAACCTGTTGGCCTGTATGTTAGTAACGCCATTGAACAAAGCTGTGCAGCTACAGTAGGTAGACTGTATGTGTCGAGTTGCCCCGGGAACCTGCACGCGTTCAGTTGGTGATGCAGTGAATGCAAAAATATGTTTTTATCTTTGATCCTGATTTGCTGAGGAGTCTGTTTTACACAGGTGATACAGCAGCAAATGGAACACAGATTAGAAATGTGTTAAGTCTGTCATAGATAATACTCAATAAGTAAATTTCACTTTGATTTAGCAAAAAACTTAAGTGATTTCAATGTATTGCTCAACATGGGAAAGTTTCAGACCTAAATCACTTGTCTAACATTTTGTTTAGTGTATGAAGTTTAAAGTTCAAGAGCTCAGCTGTCATGTTAGAAATATGGGCTGCATTAAGAGTACACCAAGCGATAAAAATAGTAGAATAACTTACATGATTTCCAGTTTTCTACCAGCAGTTTCTTTCTTGCCTTATTTGCAGCACTTTTGGCCATGATGCATTTGTATATTTCTCATAGATCTCCATTACAACCACCTGAATCCTCTCAACTGAAGTAGGTGGCTCATCGGCAGTTTATTTTGTGCAAAAGAAGATTCAAATAACGAGACAGATAAATAAGCTGATAAGATGCTGACAAACACCATCATGATACTCTTTATCTTAGTTTTTCTTGACCCAGCTAAAGAAAGCCTGGCTGTGTTAAACTTGTACAACCTTCTGGTCCAATAAATACCCTCAGAGAAAATAAAGTTCATTCATCTTATGCTAAAATGTGTTTGCTTTATCTAAAACACTGTGATGACACTCCCCTAGAATTTCTTAAAAATGTGAAACAAAATAGAAAAGATAGATAGAAAAGCTTTCCAAGGCCTGGTGGATATTTTTCTAAAGAATGAGTACAAAGAGCTCCAGAACCAGACGCCACTGTGCGTGTTGACAAACTACACATATGATCACTTCAGAGCAAAGTGTGGCATTTATCAAACTGAATCACACTAGAAAATCTATGGAAATGTAAGTACACTTCTAACCATTGATTATATATTCAGCTGATACTCCAGACTCCTGCCTTGTAGACATTTAAAAGTAAACATTTACAATGGATCAATGGATGTGTGTAATGTGAAAGGTCACTGGTAGTTATGAGGTTTTCAGCACGAGGAGCTTTTTGTTGCTCTGAAAGAATATTGTATCGTGAAGTTCAGTGGGTGAAATGTAACACAATAGTTGAAGCAGGTCTTTTTGAAATTTTCTTTAAATACTCTTATAAATACACACTGACTCTTTTTTATATTGGTTGCTTGGAAACATTATTTCTGTCCTACATTCTCAGCAGTTTCTTTTTTTTAATATTAGGAGCAAACTCAGTTCCATTAGCACAAAGATATATATATATATATATATANTATTTTTTTTTATCAAAGCCCTGAGTAAGGGTTTACTTTATGGCTGTCTTTTCAATATCTCAGCGATGTGAGATTTTGATGTTTCATGAATTTTTTTTCTTTATTTTTTTGCTGGTCTTGTGTTTTCACTCACGCCTACCTCTGTGTGGGCTTGATGGGAGAATGGGAGCTGAATTGATAGACTTTTTATGTAACCTTTTACAAGAAAAGGGTTGTTGCAGGCTCAAAGAACAGCCTTGCCTTCACAGCAAGCCTTCTGAACCACACTGAATATTGTTTGGCCTTGCTCAAAAATTTGATTTTACTCAATATTTCAAGTATTTACGAAGGCAGTTTTCCCACCTCTGCAATCTGTTCTTTATATTATTTCTTCATATGCTACTGATTCATGCAGTTTTTTTTTCTCTTAGCTCATCTTTTTTTAAAGTGATCTATCTTATTTATGTCTCTCTCCCCTTCCATCTTCCAGGGGCCGGTGTTTTCTTCCTGTCCTGTGCAGAAGGAGAGCAGATCAGTTTTCTGTTTGATTGCATCGTCAGGGGCATCACCCCCAGCAGGGCCCCGCATGGCGTGCGACCCAACCTGCCAGGTAAATACACACATAGTTGCATAAACGCACGCAGAAACTGCAAACAGAATCAATTGAACATTCCAAAAAAATATGTGCAGAGATGTAAACAAATGTTGGAGTCTGCAGGGCATGTAGGAATTATACTATTTCACTCAGGATATAAAAAGTTCTAAGGCAATCAGCCTCTTCGGTATGTGACTTTGTGACTTCGATAATAAGGTTTTACTGCCTGGTTAGTGCACATGTTTAGCATTTGTGTCAGGCGCCATGCTATAGGAAACAACACATGCTTTCAGCCCCAAAGGTCACACTGTAGATTAGGAGGTCATGCCCTTTGTGTGTGACTTGCATGGCACTACTAATTTCACAGGCATTCGCTTCAGGAGCTTATTGACAGATGGGAAGAGAAAAGTTGCACAGAACACATACCGAGGATCTGACACCTCTATAATACCTCTGAAATAGACATGGAGACGGGCGTATCCCACTGTGAGAATGTGCCTGTACGCTATACAGACACGTCTCATGATGTATTTTTATTTAAATTAAATTTAAAATGGATGTCAACATAAGGAAAAGCAATTACAATATCATCAAGTCTCTCATTTTGGAATATTACACTGTCAGAGGAGATCCTCACCTCTGGATTTTAAACTTTTAGCTGCTGTCAGTGTCAAACTACACTTTCTATAGAGTCAGATATGATTTAAAAGTAAAATCATATCTGACTGTTTTGACCTGGACCCAGTTTTCCAAGTCATTTCCATCACACCGATCAATAAGTCTCAGTAGAATTATTTATACCTTGCCTGTCAAGGAGTAAAGCTTCCTACTGCACTTTTGTGCTGCCGAGTGAAGTCGAAAATCAACCCAAAAGTTTGTCGCCTCCAACACATTGACGGCTCATGCTGCTTTTGGGCTTAGCTGTGCAGCATAACTAGATTTACTCAAGTCTTGTACTTAAAGGAGCCCTGTGGAGATTTCTTGTGAGCAACTTAAGTTTCTGTTTGCATTGGCTGTTTCTCACCAAAACACACAGTGTGCATCCTCAATGTCTCACAGACATGCTGAATGCATTTCCTTCCTCATTAAACATGCAAAGCTAAAGTTGAGACTTGAGTTGTTTACATACATGTTTCCCAGCTTGCAGTTTTTTTCTTACCTGATTGTTGAGGGTGCATTTCTTTGTGTATTGCAGAACAGAAAGCTTGTACTTGTACATGTGCATAAGACAAACAAACACACAAAATAGGGGATACATATCTCCGCTAGAGGTCAAAAACTCCACAGGATACCTTTAGATACAATACTGAGGTATTTCCCTTTTCTGCTACTTTTACTTGAATTTAACTTAATGTCATGTATATGCAAGGGTTCTTCAAAAAGGCCTCTGGCTTATCTGGAAACAAAGAGCGTAACTCCCATTTTGGGATATAACTAGATACTATAAAGCCTTATATCACTGTCCACAAAAACTCAAATGTATGAAGCAATCAGAGAGAAAGAAGAGGAAAACTTTGAACTGAAATGCTGTTGCTACAAGACAATGCGTCCATCCACACAGCAGAGGTGGCAGAAGCAGCCGATGTGGCATGAAACTGTTGTTCCATGCACCTTACTCACTCGACCTGCACTGTCTGACTTACATCTGTTTCCCGAACTGAAATCCCACTTGCGTAGTCGCCATTTTCAGAGCAATGGTAGAGTCATGAATGCTGTTGGGGAGAATCTGGAGGCTCAAGACGTGATCTTATCCACGGAGGGAAAGCGAACCTTGAACATGAGCGTACCAAGTGCGTTGAAGTTAAAGGACGCTATGATGAAAAATCATGCAGGAACATTTTTTCTCCTGTGATGTTTTCTGGCCTTTCGAAGCACCTTAAATACAATGTTAGGATTATTTCTCCTTTCTGCTCTTGAACTTGAATCTAGCTAAATGTCAGTAATATAAATATACTTCTGTTGCTGCTACATCCCCATTAAAAAAAACTCAAAAAACAAACAACTTTTGTTTTACATTGTGGCAATCCAAATTTGAACAAAGTAAAAGTACACACATTCCAGGTCTGACTTGCAGCTGTGACTTGCATACATATATAGGTGCTGAAATTCAGTGTCAGTGAGTTTCGTGGAAAGAAAAGGAGAGAGAGAGAGAAAAAAAAAACAGCATCCAGGTCGAGTTTAACTTCCCAGCTACTTTTATTCTGGTGTAAGCCAACCTGCGTCAGCCGGCTCTGGGGGCCCACTGTAACCCCTCGACATTCAGTGCTGTGAAGCGGCTATAATTAGCACCAACTAGCTACGTTAGCAAATGTTAGCTGACACCTCGCATAGCGTAGTGAAGAAACTTGGCATTGGCTGCTGCAATCCAGAGGAACAGATCCAGGGGTTAGGTTGTTGACACCTAGACACACAAACACCCTGACCCACTGCAACGCGCACTCGCTGGACACACACATGGACACACATCATCAAATCCATGCCACCTCCCTCTACACTCACAGTTTGTGTATATATAGCAGGCATTAGGTGTGTAATTGGCAGGGTTTTGCACTAAATTGATGTTCCAACAGATAGTCGAGACGCATATAACGTCCTCAGGGAGATGTTAAATTTACAAGCTGTTGTGACACTTGGAGACACACACACACCGAGAGTGGACATCTTAAAGAGCAGGCTGATTAAATATAGTAAAGAACATCAGCCTTGATATTACTAATAAAGTCTAAAATGTTGTTCTACTCATATTTTTTCATTATTTTGCCTAAAAAAGTCAAATGTGATTGACCTCTGTTCTGTTTTTCATGAGGTTACAGTGATAAAGTGACAGGAAATGTGCTCAGGTGGACGACTTTGTTTAATTTTCACTTTATCTAAAATGTAGCCAGCTAGAAAATTTGTGCTGCAGTTGCTTTAATAGAACACTAAGTCGAGAGTAGAGTTTAATTATGAGAAGCATTTTATCTCAAAATTAAACTCCCTTTTAGTTAATCATGCAGGTGAAGTGAAGGACAGTGTTACATAACTCTCTGTAAAACTCTTGTTTGTGCTTTGCGTTGTGTGTGTATACGCAGCAGATCCCAGTGCTGACCCAGCTTCAGCAGAGGAACGAATCAGCCAGGAGGCATCGGAGCTGGAAAAGAGACTCAGCATGTTGTCTAACTTCAGCCTGGCGAGCAGCACAGGTGCATTATTCTTTAAACTTCACTTCAGGCTGTACATTAGTATCCTATAAGTCACGAGCACAGAGTTAATGCAATGTCTGGGTGAAGTATCTTTATCACTGGAGCTAGTAACTGACTTCTTCTGTCCATCTTAAAGTTAGTCACTGCTCTTTATTTATGCTGCCATTTTGGGAAAGTTTTCAACATAAATATGTTTCTATTAGTCAAAAATGTGAAGCTCAGTATGGTCTGAGGTTCCCTGATTCATTTTTGCTGACTTTCGCCAAAGTTTCAAGAGAGTTTTGGAGGGTTAAAAAACTTAATGACGTTTGCTCTCCCTGTGGAGAAACACCTCCAGATGACTTGAACTGTAGCAAATGAAAGCAGCTAATTGAAAATCGATTTCACAGGGTCATTTTTCCCCCGAGCCAAACTAAAGACATGATTTATATATTTTTCATTAAACGCTTTATATACAGTAGTTAAGAAGTGAATAAGGGTGAATGCATTTCAGAGTCTCTGTGCAGATTGGTAAATAAATCACTTCATCTACGTCTAATAACTTTTTTCTTTACCCTCTTCAGCCTCCACTTACAGCTGCAGCACATCTGTTGCAGGGGACGACCGCAGCAGCATCTCGAGCTCCTCCTCCAGTCAATCGGACACCAGCTATGGAAGCAGACTTCCATTCTGGGTGGAGCCGCTCGCCAGGTTGCATCCCTCCAGCGAGACGGCATCAAGCTCCTCCACGCTGAAGGCTTTGACCGGTTCAGACGACCGGCTTTACGCTGCTGTGATGGGAGTCCCCGGGAGCCGTCCATCCTCCGCTCAGCTCCATCCTCGCGGTCTCCATGACAGCGGGCGGCAGAGCTCCTTAGACAGTGGGATTGGGATAGCGACCGGCAGTCAGTCGTCCTACTCAGGGAGCTACTCCTCGTGTACAGGGAGTCTGGACATGGCTAGCCAGGGTGGAGGGGAGGAGTTTGGCTCAGTGGCCAGCCTACCTGCAGCTCCTTCTCTTCTGTCTTTACCTCCTCCTGCTCCTCCACCAACTCCTCCACCTTCCCCTTGTCAGCCCCTACCTGCCCCAGAGAACAGAACCTCATCTTCATGCTCCTCCAGGTCTGCCTCTCGTGCATCCCGCAGGCACAGTGAGGAGTACCAGATCCCCAGCCTGCTCAGACTGAGGTACGACACCCCCAGGAGTCTGCTCCAGGCCCTGTCTCTGAGAGATTCCCAGGGAGGCCCGCCTGAGCTGGGCAGGGACAGCAGGATCAGTGGGGATGGAGGTGGTAGTCAGGGACAAAAGTTGAGCCCCAAAGGACTGAAGGCTCAGTGTCAGGCAATAATGCAGCGCTCGTTCTCCTGGAGCAGTGAGAGAGCACCCTCTGTGGACAGTGAGGGGAGGTCCACACCCAGACCCCTGCTAGTCCACGAAGGCTCTGTTGGTGGAGAAACACAGGTACCAGCAGTGCTACACTCTTTGCTTCCCTCATTCTCACGCTTCAGGTTCTCTTCGGGAGCAGAGTTTCCACTTTTCATTGGTAATAGAATGAAAAAAAATGTTTACAAATCTTTATGCTAATTACTCTTGTGTTTGCGCCCACTGATGCTAATCTCCATAATGTGCCTGCCTACATTTATTAAGCCCACAGTGGTGGTTTTTTTATTCTTATGCTAATACATGGAATCTTATGTAAGCATCCCCTGTGTTTTTAAATCAACTATGTGCTCCTCAGTAATGTGGTTTTGGATGCTGAGGAATAAAGGAAGAGACAGGATGAGATGTAGTGATCTGCTGAGTTCAGATAGCTGTAGCCCCATTAGCGTCAAAGTACCTCAGTGAGACGCCGCCAGAAATTCTACTGTATCAGAACAAGTCCCAGATGTCTTTTTAAAATTTTTTATTTATTTTTTTAACTCTGGCAAAGCAAAGAACACTGCCACCTGACTCAGACATTTGTACAATAATAGATTTGAGCGCTCTGCTTTGACTGGGGATTCGTGGTACTCTCCACATTTAGCTATAATAAAAAAGTAGTAAAAAAAATACATTTGCCAGTACAACAATGTAAAAGTAATTACAGGTTAAAGTCCTGTATCCCAAACCTCATTTATGAACAAGTACAGAGGTATTATAAACAAACTACTTAAAAAATCTAATGGAAGTGTACTTGTTCTGCAAAAAAATGGCGTTTGTCAAATAAGTCACTTAGCAAAACTACCTAAAGACATCTGAAACATGTCTCCAACCCTCACAAGCCAGAAAGGTTGAGAAACACTGGTTTCATTTTAAAGAAATAAAGTGAATTTTATTCTGTAACCTTATTATATGGTTCTTATATAAAATCTTAATCTAACAAAGTAACAAACAACTGTAGCTGTCATATAAATGCTGTAGAATATATGCATCAGTGTGGTTTTACATACATAAAAATACAAACTATTGTATTTACATCCATTTACCTTTATCCTCCATATAAACTAATACTCCAGCTGTATGTTTTTATATCCTTCAATCATGGCAGTTGTACAATGTTGTCCAATACCCAAATGAAAATGTACAGTTTTTTAAGTTTACTTTGAACAGGAGCTTGCAGTGTCTCTAAACTGCATGAGGTAAAATAACTGGAATCCTGTGAGTGTTAATTTGATCGATCTTGCAGGGTTTTTCATCAGTGCCACCACAGATGTTGATCTCAGTGTTTTTCCGTCGCTCTTGGTCAGGGTCTACTTTCGTAAAGCACTTTTCCTTCGTCGTCACTTTATTTTCTCGCTGTATTACATGAGTCTGCTGTGTTTGCGACGAATGCGTCAGCAGTTCAAGCAGCAATCATCCGGCCTCTTCCCTTACTCGCTGCTACTTGCTATTGAACTAATGACTCACTCGAGTGGCTGCCTTTTTAATTGTGATTTACAGTAGTCAGTGCCTTAAAGGATCATTAGGGAGATGAAAACACTGCAAAATGCCGAGCAGGGCTGCCAAAGGAGCAATAAGGCAGGAAGGAATAATACTAAATATAAAATATCTTGCATCATAAACCCTCACCAATGCACCACAGGAGTTTAAGAACAAAACTGGTTTCTTTGATTAGTTTTGAAATTGTTTGCTTTTTAAGGGCACACAGCAGCAGCTCCTTCTCTACTACAGCACGGCGCCTTTCTGATCTCACAGTATGTGTTTTTTACTTCCATGTGGGCAGTTTAGTCAGTGGTTCAAATGACTTTGAATGTCTTTGGTCTTTGGTGGGGAGGTGAGGAGAGAACTCAGGTTGACTAAAGCCAGATCCTTCTTACTGGGAGGTGACAGTGCCACCCGCTGAGCTGCAGGACCACCAGTAAAGGAAAACAATAATTGGCGTGGGTGTCCGTCACAAACCTGTCTCGAGCCGCTGTTGTTTTCTCTTTGATAATTTTGTCCGACGCTCTCAGAGGAGGCTTCTCCACATTGTCTAATTAATTTTCTGATGGGTTGTGAAAAGCGCTTCCCCCTTGTAGCAGCTAAATTATCATCAGAGCATGAGTGGAAACAGCATGTCTTGTGATTTCTGACAGCTCGTGTAGGAGTGCGCGCGTGTTCATTATACAGCATGTGTACGCTAAAGAAAAGGGAGTGCGAGGGGGAGCAAAAGGGGACCTAGAAAGTTAATGAGTAGTGATGAAACTGACAGAAACCCTCAGAGAGGAGGTTCCTGTTGCAAGAAACACAAATGAGTTTTCTTTATTTATCATTCGTCAAGTGTCGGCGGTTCAACGTGGCAAAAGCTGCGCATCCCTCGCGTTTGGTAATGACACGATGCCTGAGTGCACAAGTAGTATGTCTGCTGAAACAAACCGTGTGACAGATAATGTTCCTGAAGCTCCAGCCTGCTGCGTTATTAGCTGCTGTGGGGAGGAGAAGATGATAAATTGGGACACACCGTCAGAGACTTTTCACGTCTGAACCAGCCACCTCTTTGGTCTGCTGTCACCTAAAAGATTGCAGCTCTGTCCTCTCAGTTCTATAGCACCTTTTTTCTCTTCTACCTCACGCCCTCACACGTTCCTCCTCCTCTTCTCTCTTTCTCCTTTATCAATTTATTTTGAAGCCTCTCGGCTGCTCGGCCTCTCTTTTCTCCACATCTAATTTCTCAGAACTTTGAAATGCTGCTGCTTTTCCTTTTAAGCAAGTTACATCATTAAACGTGGCACTGAAAAACAATTAACTTGGCTATCATTCCTCGTGTCTCCCCTCCCAGTGCAGTCATGGGTTAGACAACTACATTACTCCAGAGCAGTGGCGGTCAGCGAGGAACAGATGCTTGACTCAGGTAAGATTGTATCCACCTGTTTTAACTTGTGCTGCTACCATGAAAATGAGCTTTTGTGTGTTCAAAGCAAGACGACTACATAACATTTGCAGAAGAAGCAATAAACCTTCAGTTTACAAGAACACTTGCTTACACTTATACTTCTGACAAAACCTTTACCTATAAATTAAGGCAAGATCAATGTCCTATAATGCTGTAACATTTGGTTACAGTGGCTGCTTTTAACCTTTAGTTAAAAACACGACAAAAGCATTAAAGAAGCTTTCTACTTTAAAACTGAGCTGTACAATAAGAATTTGTTTGCTTCAAGACACAATGTTTGATTTTTAAATAATTGTTTTCCGTCTCTTTCAGGTTGACATCTCTCCATTGGCAGGCAGCCAGTCAGCTTCTGCAGATACAAAAGGTGTTTTTGTAAATGCAACTGTGTGCTTTTCTTACTAAGAAGTGGAAAATGATACATTAGCTCCAGTTCTGTTGTTAAGTACAATTTGGCTAAAAGTGGAATCTGCAATTCTGGAGATGTTAAAATGCTAGTGATGTGTACAGACAATAGACAATTCATCAACAGAAATAACAAAATTGCTCGGTAGAATGGCACCAGATGGAATAAAAGCACAACATAAACACACAGTTTATTTACATGAACAAACCCCAAATGCCTCATAAAGAACCTGTCATACCTCGATAATGGAGTATGTACTTCAATGCGCTGGCTAAGTGAGACTAATAATGGAGCCCCTTTGCCCTCTATTGCTAACACTGGCTGCCGTGTACGTCTCCTGAGAGAGGCTGCGGCCCTCTGGGACCAGCATATGCCCTTGCAATACAGTCTTTGTTGTCAAAAATCACACACAACACAGCAACGCACTCGTTGACTTGACGCTGATGCTCATGGAGTCCCAGTTTAGCCACTCAAAGCTTAACCTCTGTGTGTTCGCCATGGTTGCCCTTCATGCGCCTGTAGGTTTTATTATCTTTATTTAATGAGTAGGAAGCTGAGATTGAGATCATTCCTTCAGCTCTAATTATTTTAAATTATGTGTTGTTTTTATATGTGCGTGTTTTTGTTGTGCTAACATTAATATTATGACCCATGTACCTTGATAAATAAGATAAGATGAGCCTTTATTAATCCCACAGCAGTCAGGGAAATTTGCAGTGTTACAGCAGCAAAGAGGATAGTGAACATCAGTCATGAAAATAAACAAGACAATATAAAGCACTGTTGATACTGGACAGATTGTTCTATATGTAGAAATTTAGATATTGCAGAGATTCCTTTGAATATGGAAATCAACAAAACTGCACAGGATTATTCTATATGTAGGAAAATACTGATATTGCACAAAAAAAAAAATTTTTTGAATTTACAAAATGTTCATAATGCTCAAGTTTGCATGCGTAAATGTTGCACCAGAGCAAAATATTAAGTAGAAAGTGGTTAAATTCAAAGTGAGCCTTCGTTTTCTCGTCTTTATGAAAAATAGGTTATTTAAAAATGAACAATAATTATCAATTTCAATGGAAATTATTTTTTTTGTGGTTATAGATAGTTCAGCTGTATTGCCCAGCCCTGTATTTAGCAAGTTAACATATTCCAGGCAGTTAGCGTGAACCAGGTTTACCTTTCTGCTCATCTTTCCTACCTTTCCTGTGCAAGTGCACAAGCACAAATGTACACAAGACACACTTGAATAGTCTGAATGGTTCGCTCTGACAGAACAGACAGGTAGCAGACCGTGAGGAGATGTTTGCCATGTTGGACACAAAGTGAATTGGACTAGAAGCCCATATTCCATATTGAAGTACTTCTACTTTACACGTCTACTCCACTGCATTGAAAAAGGAAGATGTTGTTCTTTTTTTTAATACAGTGTTAGTTTGTTTTTTTACAGGTAAAGTCCAGTTCCTTTGACATTTAAATTAGCAGTTTATTAAGTACAATGCAGTACAAAAAGTTGTTAAAATTAGCTCCATCTTAGCTACCTTTATCTTTTAAATGCTTTTTACATGTCCCTGCATCAGTATTAACAATTAACTGAACTGTATTTTGATGATAACATTTCAACCCATACATATTTTGAATTAAGAACTCTGTAGTCAAGAATTGTTTTCACATTGTTTTAGTTACCTATTTTAATACTTATACTGAGGAGCGCAGTGTGTTCGTGTCAAATAATGATGTCCTAAATATCTGTTCCCAGACCCTTCTCTCTGTGTGACGGAAGAACACACTGACAGTGGGGATGTTGGTTGGAAGCTGGCAGGTCTGAAGAGGTTTTTGAATTCTCGGCCACCTTCTGCTCCTCCACTTCCTCCTGTCACACTGAGCACACACCGGCCAACATCAGCTTGGGGTAGGAGAACTTTATGAATTCTAACAAACTTTTTTTTTTGTTTTGGTTAATGTGAGTGCACAAAAACAAAATGCTCTTAATGACGGTTTATCCTGCTGGTCCAGAATCAAACGCACATCCAATTTAGTCGCCCTCCTTTTGGGTTTTTTTTCCCTTCAGGTGTGTTTCAGTCTCCACATGAAGCTCCTCCGTCCCTGGACGCCAGGCCTCACGGCGACAGCTCTGTTAATTATGTCAACATCCCCATTAGCCCCCTCCCGGCTAGAACCAGAGAGCTGCACTACACTGAGCTGGATCTGCAGGAGCCCGGTTCAGCTCCGCACAGCGCTGTGAGAGGTAACGCTTTGCAGCTCTGCAGAACCAGTAAGAACACTGCACTCAAACGGCCATTTTAGATCAATCTTTGCCTTTCCCTGCTGCTTTTCATTCGGATTCATCTTTTGCGTCCCACATCTCTGCCACCCTTAGGCCTAATGCATATACAGCATTATAGCAAATGTCACACTTCATAAGTTTATAGATTCATGAGGAGCAGCAAGTAAAACAGAAATGAAACGTAAAAGATCTCTTTGCTGGTTACAGGCAGGGTTTTTGATTTAATTATCCTCCCAGTCTGTGTACTAATTCTTACAAAAGTACCACCCCCTAACCCCCAAATAGGACAGACACTGCCACATTTTGTTGAAATATTCCTGCTTGCATCTTGCTATCTGTCAGCTTTAAAGAAGTGTATGAAAATGTGCTCTTAGCGTCGACTCGTATTAAGTGCAGGCAGACAAGTGCTTTTAATGAATAGGGAGACACGACTTCTTCATGGAAAACAGGCATGAATTTAATTTTCAAGCATAATTCATGTAAGATAATCACACATATTTGGACTGAGGAAATGAATCAATTTAAAACAGTGACATAAGGCAAACAGTTAAAACATAATAAAACTCTCAGGTGTGAAGTTGAAAATGAAAGTAGTTGTGTGCATTTTTGAATCACAGATGAAATGCTTTAAATATGCATTTCAGCCGTACGAGTGGAAAAAAATTAGTTATGGTTATTTATACAGGAACAAAGTGACTGAATAAGGCAGATCAATGATTCATGATTACTGCACGTTTTTACTGTATGCATCAAAAGCAAGATAAGACGTACTGTAGAAAAACACATTTCTTCTTTTATCTCCCCCCTTTATTTCCCAACCAGAAGAGGGCTCCATCAGATACGCCCACCTGGACATCACTGCCATGGAAACGGCTCAGAGAGTGGCGATGGAGCATGTTCAGGGCAGAGAGGACAGACTGACTCAGCTGGAGAGCAGGCGGCGAGGGCCACCAAAGTGACTCGGTGACACTTCAGAATACTTTTTCTATTCTCTCCATCTCTCGGAATAAGCTAAAATGCTCAAATACAGTTGCTCATCATACCAGTCATTGTTGACTTAAACACAGCCGCAGTTGTGCCAGTGTACAGAAATTCCCACAAACAATCCATTCCACTAAGAATAATAATGAAAAAAAAAATGTCTGGGAGTTCTCTTATGCAGCTGCCATCTTGTCTTGTTTAGGTGTAATTTCTTATATAGTTGTTCTTAAATTAGCGTTTTTTGCATTTTACTTGATCACCTTTACTCTGGAAATTGTTTGGCTGCATGGCACTTATATCTGGTGAGGTTTGAGGAAACCTGTCTGCTTTAAGATTACTGCTGAGGACTGACATAAATTAGGGCTGAGGTCTCCAGGTCGATGGGTTGGTTTGTGTCGCTCATCTGACCAAATTCCCATTGGTTGAGTACTACGTCAACAGCCTTTCCTGATTAATCCGTTACTTTGATGGCAGGAGTAAGATGCTACCTTTGAGCAACATGGTATTTTCAAAACACCCTGTATTTTCAAAATTTTGCACCTTCTTGGATACTGGTAACTTATTTAACATTTACTGAACATTTACTCTGAGTTGCCTCCAAACTAATTGACACCATGTCACAGCCCAACAACCAACATGGCATACGGTCTAAAAAACAGTACGCTAACTTGTGTACATTTGCATGTTCTGTCAATTTTCCAATACGTTAGACTTAATAGCTTTTTAACGGCTTGTGCAGCCACTGCTCCAGTGTCTATTGGCAACAGCTACACCCAGACCAAGCTGGGCTTAAAGCCTCTGCTCTAATCAAAGCAAGCCAATATCATGATGGGAATTATCGAACTGACACTTTAGAGTTGCCTGAAATCATACCTACTTTTAAACCAATCGGTTGGTTTAAGAGTGTGTCTTGTTATCTCTAGATTACCTAAAACAGCTCACCGAGTGCACTCTGCTGGCCTTATTAGTCTAAATGAATTATTAAACACAAAAATCTAGTATTTGCAATCTATGACATGATGTTAATCTATCATGTACAGAATCTATACAATGCTGTATCAACTGGTGATCACAGCCTTCTGTTTTTAGATTGATATTTGACTTTATGGTGCCCCACAGATAACATCTTTGATATGGTGTCAAACTGTTTAGTTCTGACCTAAGTAAACAATCAGTAAAAGACTGCACCATTAGGTTGAGTGGGTTTAAAGTTGTCAAAACACAGAAGAGTTCATGGGCAGTCTTTTCCTGCCACTGCCAAAAATAGTGGGTTAATCCTGAAAGAATGCTGATGAAGTGCTTTCCTCCTTATGAAAGTTACACTGACGATTGACTGACCAATGAGACCTTGGTCAGATGTGAGTATATTGACCAACCAACAAGCCGACCTGAATGCGACAGTTCTACTTCAAATGGCTTTCAATACGAAGGAATGGCACAGACCTAAAGTTTACCACTGACATAGGAGACAGCAGCGTTACATAGGATCTCGTTAGATTTTGTTAAACTGGAATGTCCTTTCAAATTCTGGCTAGATTTATTTTTCTTCAGACTATTAGGGCTTGGGATATGTATTGCTGGTTCTCTCACCAACTGTTTGGGGTTGGAACAGAATACGATCGGATTCAGAGATCAAACCCTCCTCAGCATTGATTGAAAGAAGCAGCTCAGAGTTATACCCTGCGTGCAAATGACATTAATCCAGGTCCATGTGGCCCAAGCAGGACATGACTGAGTAATCAGCCACCCAGTGACATTATTCATCACAGTAATCAATGCCTCTGCTGCTCGTCTGTGAGGGCAGGGACTGATGAATGGAAAAGCACAGAGTGTGTTTTGATTTCTCACCTCCCTATTTACATCATCAGGTCAAACTGTCCAACACATGACGTAAATTTATTTTTATAGTTTTGATTCCCCACTTGGGTTTCATGAGGAGACAACAAGGAATAAATAACTTGAGGATGAGTCAGAAAAATGTAACATTTTACCAAGAATAGCCTTGTAATGTCACTGCAGACACTGCTTTCTGCTACAGGACTTGTAAATATTAACTGCTTTTATTTATGCCAAGACAGTATGAATAATATTTAACTATATTTTTAAAACATTATTGTATGTATGTTGTTGGCACCTGTATCTTACGGAATAATAAAGATTGCCGTTTAATTTTCTGCCCCCTGGGTGTCAGTGCTTATTCTAATCATTTTGTTTTTTGTTTTTTTTTTTTTGATCAAAGTGATATTACAATATTTCAGCAGATCAAAGTATGAGTTGCTAGAGTGGTATCAGCTTACATGATGTAGAATTTAGTATTTGCATAGCTAACAACAGACCAGTGTGGAGAAACTGTTGCTTGGCTCCACTACAGCTGACCATCCCCAACTGTCACCTCTACACAGACATCTGCCTGGTGGTAGTTGCACAGACTGACGTTGCTATGGAGTACCACAATAGTATGTAAACAATTCTATTTTATCTGATCAGTTATTACAATAGGTGCAGCTGGTTTAGAAGAATGTCATAGTCACGCTATGTACAAACAACCTACAGCTCATTCAGCAATTTGTAGACTAAAAAAGTAGAAAACCGTACATGGAAAGCACATTTTGTTTTGTTTACAGTGGTTGGAAGGGAATGGTGGAACATAGCGTACCTTGTGTATGACTGCAGAGCAAAATATTTCAGTTCATTCAACCTTCACTGATGTGCTGAACATGATCCAAGCTTCTCAGAGCTCATTGTGCTCGAGTCCCTCACGTGAGATCTTGTTGGACAAGTCCTGCATGTGTTTCTTCATCTGAAATCCAACAACAGAAGACATACATGTGACCATTTAACTACAAGACAGCTCCTGTACATCTGTTCCTTCCTAGCTGATGTTTAAAACTTATGACCAATGTTTAAAAAGGGAAATTAACACCAATTGACTTGATTTTATCCAATACAGTCGTCTCATGTTGCACTAACAATTTAAACTAATACCTGGTAATGTTTTTATGATATAACAATAATTCTGCATTCTATATTTAATATGTACTGCAAGTCCTACTCTGCAAATCAGCAAAAAATGGGACGCTTATCAATCAGAATTTACTTTGAAATTATTTGAACAACATTCACTGGTTAAGCCATAAAATGAATTATCAGTTGCACCATTGCTAACTTTAACCATTTTTGAAATTCAAGGTTCACAAAGGTCCCATCTGTCAAATTACGTTTAAGAAGCTTTAATAACATGCATGCCTGAGTCCCCTTCAGTACACTTTTTCTTACCTGGATGCTTTTTTCTGATCATCGCAATAATATGTGCAAATAATACTTCTACAGCATTTATAGAAGTGCAGGGTTTTGTTTTATGATCATCAGAATTCCTTTTAGAGCTCTTGAACTGTTTCCAAAAGGTTTTTGTTCAGTACTGAAGAAGTGAAACTACTCTTTCATGATATTTGTTTCATTATTATATTGGTTTCTACTGCAGGTGACCAGTCAGCCGCTGCCGAGTAAAAGCAAACAGTGAACCTTTTTATTTATTTTTTTTAATCAATGCCTACCTTGTAGCCCATCTCTCTCGTCTTCTCAGCGAGCGTGTTGTACTTTTCCTGATTCCTCTTGATGTGCTCTTTGTCTCCTAAAGCCTCTACATGGCGCAGCTTCTGGTGGGACAGCTCCAGCTGCTCCTGGTAATGGCTGTGCTTCTCCACCTTGGTCTCAAAGTGACGCAGCTCCTCCTAAATGAACATGAAAAAGGAGGGCAAACGTTGAGGGGTGCAAGTTCAGTTCACCTTCAATTACATGCACAGCTGCACAGGAGAGCCGATACGCATCTCAAGTGGTGACTAGAGAGGAAATGTCACATAGAAAATTCAAGCTGAATGTTTCCCCAGGTAGCCTAAAAAAAAAAAATTGAAACTAAAATTGAGTTGTTCACTGCATTCATCTGCTCAAGGGACAAAAGGTGAAAGGAGCACAGTGAGTAATATGAGAGTAGCATACTTATGAATTTAAAATGTGCAATGCATAAAATGTGATTATAATAATAAGTTGCACTCTCCCTTTCGAGGCTCGCCGTACACAAGCAGTACTTAGCTACAAATTACACTGCAAAATATTACCGTTAATATCGCTGTTAGCAAAAGAGCACTTGATTAAAAAGTTTCTGAGAGTTGTACTCAGAAAAAGTTAGCCTGCAGCACTCTGATAAAACAAAAAGTGTTATCTTGAAACAGATTGGTTGAAGGTGCAAGTGTCCAAAAAACTGCCACAGGGGATGTTGAGCATTACCTTGAGAGAGTCCAGCTCATCGTTGCTGAGGTTGGCTCTCTTGGCAGCCTCCCAAAGCTCAATCACACGAGGCTCCCGAAACTCTACAAAGCAGGAACAGACAGAAAGAGAGAGAGAGAGAGAGACATAAATAATCCAAGGCGACAGTTTGGAGCCACAACAGTGCTCGAGAGGGATGGAGCTTTGAGGAGGAGCAGGCAGAGCAGGTATTCTATAAGATACAATCACAACGACAAGATAACCTAGCTGCTCAATCATTTTGTTCAAACACAAAGCAAGACAGCTGCTTGCATTCAAATTTCAGCTTGAGGTGCTTTGACACATTTCCTTTAAGTACTACAAAACTGCACATGTAACAAAACCAGATGGAGAAAACAGGAAGATTAAGACTGTTCTGTGCAAGAGCAGGGAGGAAGAGAACAAGTGGTTGAGTGAGAGACAACCTGGAGGGGGAACAAGGAGAGACACAGTAAAGGAGCCATTATGAATCAACAGAAGGTACATCGCCTTCATCTAAACTCCCCAGCAGACTCCCACTGAGACCTCACACAAACTCTGCACTGCGCTCGACAAAAGCAGCTGAATATGACACTGTAATATCGCAGAGGAGTGTGGAAATATGAGACAAACTATGAGGAAAATGTAATCAAGAGAGTGATGAATGTTTTCTCCGTTAAATAGCACAAGGACGAGCTGGTTAACGTCACTGAATGAAAGCAGCGTCGTGAGATGCTTTAAATAACCTCTTTCAGATGCTTCTCTCCGACATCCTTTCTATTTTAGAGACAGTTTCTCAACTAAATGCACAAAAACACTTAAGCTGCCTGCGTATCAACACTCAGCAACCATGATACGGCAGTGTGTTATTATGACTACAAATCCCAGTAATTAAGCTGATGAGATAAATCCAGAGTACGACTGAGATGCAGAAAGAGACAAGCTGAGAGTTTGTGTGTGGTTTCTTTTCTCTTCCTCACCGCTGTCTTCAGTGAAGCCCTCATGGCTGAGCTTACGGAGGCGCTCAAATCCCTGGTTCAGGTCTCTCATTTTGTGCTTCAGCTCCGTGTGCTTCTGGTGCAGCACGTGCTCTTTGGCGTCGCCCTCCAGGGGAGAGATCACATTCTTGTGTATTTCTGTTGAGACAAACAGACGAAAGGAAAGAAAGGGGAGGAGATGAGGTGATTGGGCAGAGGTAGGAGTCAAAAGCCGGCAGGGTTGGGCGGGTCGGTCAGATGGGAGTAATGGGCAGACGGGATGAGGGGAAGAAGAAAGAAAAGTTAGGAAGGATAAAGTAGGACAAAGAAATTAAAGCAATAATGGAGGGAAAGAAAAGCAGCCGTTAATAACGCAGCCTATGAGCTTAATCTCAGGGGATAATACCACTGTGAGGTTATGAGATTCCTGCCTGTCTAACTCTAGAAAAAGGCGATGAGGTGAAAATCAAACAAAGGGCAGGTAGACAGCTAAATGATAGTGGTTGACATTTGGATTAAGCAGAAAAAAAAGAGAAAAAGGAAATGAAGGACAGGGATCCCAGACAGGCAGTAGATGGAATTGGTGTGGATGTTGTGGGGGTTCGCAGAGACTCCCCTCAAGGCAACATGTGATTGGCTCAATATTTAAGTGCATCAGACAAGCAGAAAAGTACCCCCGGCTTGTTGGGCATTCACGTAGCGCTGTGGAGAGCTAACGGAAATGTTCTGGCAAAAAACAGCTGCCAAGTGTCAGTCACATCTGAAGGAGACGTGCCTGTCCTCCCCACGTCTATCTGAAACACAGTGGGGCCCGTCAGCTTCGCTTAAAACTCACAGCTTGATGTGATGTGACAGGCACTGATAGAGCAGAGAGCAGTGGGTGGCAACATGTGCAGTCTGATACCTGCCACCTACGTACATGACCACAAGACTAAACAAACAGAGCACTACAGACCTGAGACTCCAAGGATATGAAACAGTGGTATGCAGAGCAGCCACATATGGGAGAAGGAGAGTGAGAAGGTGTAGTTTATGCATTACCTTACTTTGGAAACCACCTTCACAGACAAAAAAGAAGGGTTTTTTTTTTTTTGGAATTTGTGCATTTTCAGTTATTCTGATGTAGGCTTAAGAGCAGAGGAATGCACAATGAAGCAAGTTTGACACGGTCAGACTTTCTTTGTGTAAGGCAGCTCGACAAAATCTAAATCCTAGTCTGTGATAACAGGTATCACCTTGGTATCAAACTTCTTTGTCCACCGAGAACTTCTTCTTTAGATTCTGTTTCTGATTCAAATAAAAGGGGACGTTTAACCAGTCGTGAACAAATTGACTGATCCTCTGCTGCCGACTCCAGTCAACACTTTGTTATAATGCAGAGCAATGAAAAACCTTAAAATGTCTCATAGTCAAAAGAGCTGCTACTGCACATGATGCAAGAAAATGGGTAATTGTGTAACTATATGTAAATATTTTAATGCCCAGCACACACTCACTTATTTCTAATGTGACAGCTGCAGTAAAACTTTAAATTTCACAAATTTAAACATGATATTAAAAAACTGCACTTAGGTCTGTCATTATCCCATAGTGATGCATATCACAAGTCTAATTTATGTTACTGATTGAATATTCCATGATGAATACTAATAGTCTAATCAATGTTTTAATATGTGTTCTACTACTAGTTGCAGTGTAAAACTGTTCTGGCAGTAAAACAGGACCAATTAAATAAACATATTTTTGTGTTTTCTGCATCACCATCTGAATGCATGTAGGTTCCCATGGCAACGCAACGCACAGTGTGCAATACTGTGGCTGCACAGGTACATTCTCTAGTGTTGGTGATGCACAGATCAACAGGTCGGCAGAGATAACGTCTCCCCTTGGTTGAGAATCTCATTCGATTTATATCAGAAACTGAACAATAGCTGTGCAGCATTAGTAACCATGGTGATCTGCTCAGGTTAAAAGAGAGCCAGCCTCATGACACTGAAAACTTATAGCTCAACATACCTCCCTAACCCATTAATCTTGCTTCGTAGTACGGCCCTCTGGGGTCAGAGCCATAAGCGTGCCGGTATACAAACACTTATATAGCATGAAAAGAGCTGGTGAGAGTTGAGAAGATGGACGGCGTGTACTGCCCACTGCAGCGAGAGATCTCAAATAAAACAAGGACATTGCAATAGAAAAGAGGACAGGACTTAAAAGCTTGTAAACTTGGCCTCCAATAATACCAATAAAACCCAGCAGAGGTGGTGTGACTCCCCTGCTTGGCAGAAGAGCAAAGAGAGTGATTCATGCGGCTCACCTTCGGTCCTGCTGACTGTATCCATGAGGATGTTGTACTCGTGGATCTTGTCCTTGTGGTGCTGGAACTCCCGCTTCAGGCTCAGCAGCTCCTCATTAGAGAACTTTCCCGAGCTCTTGGCCTGGTAGGGGGAAGAGCCATCAGGAGGTAGACTGGAGTTAGTCTCAAAAGCAGCAGAATAACAGAGATATTTTAGATAAAAATAATAGACCAAATAGGATCAATACTTGGCACTGTGCAGTGCTCCACTCTAACTTTTTACATTGGTTTGGCAACACAATTCGTGTGACTGGTGGGATTCGGTGTTCTCTTATTTTAAGGGGACGCCACGAGATTCAGTGATCACTTAAATAACAAAAGATAAGGAAAAAACACATGTAATAAGCTGCCCACGTCAGCTCCTCTCACACAGGAGAAAGTGCATGGACACTGGGTGTGAAGCTAACAGCAGGAACTAATGGTGGGTTTATTACTGTCTGGTCAACAGTGTCTTCATAATCACTAGGGGTTACTGACCTACCCTCCCAATAAGACAGTCTCGGCACCACTCCCCAAATCAAAAGCGACCTGATGCCCCATATGATTTTGCTCAGCCATGGTAGCGGCATCAAGAGTATTTATAACTGGAGTATAAAATGAGATAGTCCTGAGAGAGAGCAGTACTGCCAGAATGTAATAACAAGAGATATCCAGTACAATCTAAGTTATTAAAATCAATCCAGTGTGTATGATTGGCAACTTCAGTCAGCGTTCATGGTTTTTCACACCACCATACTGACACCACCTAAACTCTCCTCTTCTGACATGTATGTGTCCAAAAACACACACTTTGTGTTTCACTATAGTGTATATTGAGGCAAAAATGATTTGGCTAAACATGCATATTAACTGTCAAGTAACTTGTGCAGTACTCAGCTTGTACACAAAATATCATGAAGCAAAAATGAAAGACTGAAAGCTTAGTTAAAGTTGTTGACTCAGGGCGACAAATAAAAGCAACAATCATTTTTTATGTACATTCTATGGTTTTAGCCCATAGATCTCTCTGGTGAACTTTCATCTGTTTCATCAACACATCTGTTTCCAACCGAGCTGCCCAAGAATTAGTTCTTGCACTTTGCGGCTGCATGCCTCCGCCAACCAGTGAAGTTGTGGTTTAAATCCATGTCTGTCCAGACCCATATAATATCCTCAGTGAAGAGACTGAGTGGGTGTAATAGCCCAATATCAAGGTCACCAATTCTTTATCCAACTAAATGTCAAATATTGTCACAATCCCCCTTTTTGTACCAGGGGTATGGCATTGAATAAAAGCCAGAAAAGTGGTTTTGCAGAACATTCTTATGTTTCAGTGAAGCTGAACTTTGACCTTTTGGGTACAAGAAAGTGGGTGTTTGTGCCAAATTTGAACAAACCTCCTCCAGGCTTTGCTCGTATACCACATTCACAAGAATGGGATAGATGACCTTTGACCACCAAAATCTAATAGGTTCATCGTCAAGGCCAAGTAAGCTTTGTGCCAAATTTCAACAAATCTCCTCAAGGCATTCAAGAGACTTTGTGTACATGAGAACTGGATAGTCAGGCAGAAAGCATTAAAGATATCTTATAAAACAACATTTTCTAAAAAACTACAGGGGAACCTTGTAACTGTAAAATCAAAAGCTTGTAACCTTATAAAATATGTGGTGCACCTGATCTCTCTTATTTGAAGCTGAATGACACTTCTCTGTTAGCTCTTCTGAGGTTCATGTCCTAATTTTATCCAACAGCTGTGGCAGGTTTTTAAAAAAAAACAAAAAACAAACAGCAGCAGCTATAGAGCCACACAAATCCCACAGTGATGCTACCAAAATAACAGCAAAAAATCAAGGCAACATACTAGAAAATGTCAGTATTTTCAAATCTGTCTCTGTTATAGACAAACCTTGTTCCAGAGTTTGTCCAGCCTGGGATCATCAAACATGTCTCCTTCTTTGGTGTCGTGATCTTTCAGTGAGTTGCTCTCCAGCGGCCTAGTGTCCCTTTTGCCGTCCATCCCGTACTTGGCCAGAATCACTGCAAGACACAACGATAAGACTTTAGCAAACGCTGTGGTGAAAAAGCGTGACATGAACCGCTAATGCTGTGTTCACACCAGACGCGAGTAAAATCATTCGTGCAAATGATTTACATGTAAAGTCAATGTGAAGACGCGATTAGACAAAAGTAAACGTCCCGCAGTGCGACTCGCGCGATTAGCGTGGCATGATTGACGCGAATTGAGCGAGTTTGACGCGCGTTTCACGCGATTTAGACGCGTGATACGTGCGTAACGCGCGTCTACAGAGCAAGTTGAAAAATCTGAACTTTTGTGATCTGATGCATGGCCAATCAGCGTTGAGATTCTGTGGTGAAGTCAACAACATGATTCATTAATTTTTTTGCAAGATGTAAGTAACTGCTTATCTCCTGGGGTGAGTAAATCAAACAGTATTCTCAGTGTAGTTGCAAAAAATGAATGAATCATGTTGTTGACTTCACCAGAGAATCTCAATGCTGATTGGCCATCATGGCGCGTCAGATCGCAAAAGTTCAGAGTTTTCAACTTGCTCTTTAGATGCTCGTTACGTATGTAGACACTGCTTTGTCTAAATCGGGTCAAACTCGCTCAATTCGCATCAATCATGCCGCGCTAATCGCGCCGCAGGACGTTTACGCGCATCTAATCGCGTCTTCACATTGACTTTACATGTAAATCATTCGCACGAATGATTTTACTCACGTCTGGTGTGAATACAGCATAAGGAGGAAGCTGATAATCAAGAGAATCTAAAGGGACTAAGAGACATATTCATCATTTAAAAGAACTCTAAAGCCCTTGATAGTAACTCATTAATTCCAAAGAATGTCACTGTACATTTTAAAGAGAACAGCAAAGGGAATAACACCTTCAGACATGGAAGATGACAAGAGCTTATCAAAACACATTTTGCATTTTTTTGACATTGAGTGGCACACAGAAGGTGATGTGCTTTTTTCCTTGTTGCTCTCAAAGTGCATGTTTAGGAAGAATGCTCATTTATCTGACCAGTTACTAAAGTGAGCTCATTACTCGACCAAAAACAGGATGCCTGCACATACAAGCAGCACGCTCTTACTTGTCTCGTAACACTTACTATCTAAAGACTTGCAAAACTTTCTTAATATAAATCTTCATCTTTTTTCTGAGAATTCTGAGACGAGACTAAAAGTCCTAAATGCATCCATTTCTGCAGCAAAATTGTTCAATATTTGTCATGCAGAAAAAATACTGAGCAGCACACAAAAGTTGGACTTGGCCCCGAAGAAGCTCTGACCTCATTATTCTGCTCCAGTTAACTGTCACTGCAGCAGCTGATTCAGCACCCTCTCAGCTTTGTTGAACCCCATCAGTGTCACTTATTAACTACTGATACTCTAAAAGTATGGGCCCATATACCGAAGGCTAGTTTAAAATCCTCATAAACAGGGTGCAAGAAGTTATAGACAATCTCTGTCATACCTCTAGGCTCGTAAATTTTCCTTTTTATTCTTTTTTTTTTCAGCTAAGGACCTTCACTCTTGACTGATCTATGCTAAGTATAAACAATAAAACAACCTAAATCAACCCATTCACAACAAATAAGGTGTTATAATTAGTCTCTAGGCACTTGAAACTGAATGTATCAATAAGAAGTATAGTGGAAATGAAAATCAGGTGAGAAAGATTTTTTTTATATAAAGTCCAATTAGAATGACTCAAGGAGAGGGACATGATTCAGTAGGGAGTGGATGACTTGAGGTCCTCCTTAAAAATTTATATTTAGCCATCAACGGAACAGGGAGTGACTCTGCTGCTCTGCCTGGAGCAGGAAGGTCACACCACCACTGGGGAGCGAGGAGCGAGAGGAGTCCAGAGCAGGTGGACGGCTGCCTGAGCTACCATAGGGGGGGAGTGTCCACCGGCTGCTCGTGCTAACAATGCCGTGTGGTGTTGACTCGCTGCCTGCAGGTGCTGAGGTAAAAAGACATTCATGCAACGGTCCAGGGTTTAAGCATGATTCGATTAAGTATTGAACTGTCAGTATGTGCCTGTCTTATCCCTTAAGCAAACTTATAAGACCCCATCTCTGTCTGAATTATTGATAAAATTCCTCACAGTTTAACTACATGCTAAACCCGGCACATTATTTAGTATCTGAATATAATATTCACAGCATTCTCTCCATGTCCATGTGTAAGTGACACTCTGTAAAGCCTGCAATAATAATTCAAATGTTAGCTCGCTTGCAAAACCTAAAACAGAGAGTAGCATAAAATTCTTCAAATAAATACACAAAGGAATATATTGTTGCCCTATGCTTTAAATCCACTACATTCCACATTCTTATATTTACAAAATGTGCTCCCACTGCTTTGTATTGGATCAATACGGTGCAAAGAATCATGGGATGCTTGAATCCTCTCATGACCAAGAGGTCCAATGATGAAATGAATATTTCTTTACCACTGTTTAATGTATACCCATAACTTTCATATGGTAAATCTATGCACCAAGCCTGAATATAAATAAATTATCATGTTTAAAATGCGGTATGAATACAGCTGCTGAGTTTATTTCTAATAGAAACAGAAATTACAATTTTGAAAAAAAAAAAAAGTATCCCTTGCGTTATTCTCCCTGCCAAAGGACTTTATTATAAACTGTATGTCCACACCATATTTCTTTGGAACCCATTATATAATCTTGATATTTTACCATAAATGTTTAAGCGTATGAACTCAAGGAAATGTACGTATTTTCGTATCATTAGACGGTTTCTCAGTCTCTGATGGACATTCACATATTGCACACCTGAGCTAAATTAAAGTCACTTCAACCTGCTGTCTTGACTGATCACTGGCTTTAAATGGCAACACTAATGAAATTTCACACTCGGGAGAATCTACACTTTCTTAACCTTTAATCCATCAGAAAGGTTCCACAATTCAATATGCTGGACATGAGGTTATTAAAAAGATCCTGCATATCATTAGGAAGACACCAGCATCTGTCTCTCACTGGAAATACAGATTGCGATCACTGTGATATTTCATATTGAAATAAGAAATTCTGTAATACTTCCAGGTTTTTACATAGGACCTGCTTGATTTTGGCATCTATTTGGTGATTACTAACAGGTGTATTAACATTTTTAGCATCACTACTTATCAAATCAAAAAAAATCATATTTACACCACAGTCATTCAGGACATGCTGCTTCTGACTGCTTCAGTCCAGAAACTGTCTCACCGTTGAAGTTACGCCTGAGTTGAGCCTCCTTCTCCCCGTTTTCATCCAGGCCTTCCACCTTCATTTTTTTCCACTGCAGCTCATCTTTCTCCTGGAGCTTCAGGTCACTGTGCAGCTCAGACTGCCGGACTGGGGACAGCTGCATCTATCAAGCCAAAACAAGCAGACATTGTGGGGTTAGTTAGACACAAAGAGGGAGAAAGTTTGCAGACCGGCAGAACAGTGGAAATAGTGGTAACACATGTAAACATGCTGTTGTAGGTGTCATCCATATAATCTATAGTTGTTAAATATAGGTCATTGTTTCTGATGAGGATGTAAATTGGAGTTTTGAGATTTGTTTTGGAATTCAGTCTGATTATAGTTATAGTTTGTGAACAGTAATGTTCTTTGAAATCCTAGAGTCTGCAATAGTCTAAATGAAACAGAGCAGAGGTCTCCATGGTCTGTTCACAGTGTGAGTAGCAGGATACTGAAGATAAACTGAGTGACCGCTTTGACCTGCATAACACTAATTAAGTTTAAAATATTCAACATTTATGTCAACCTGCTTTCTATCAGACCATTCATATATTCTTACCAGGTAAATGCTCAAAACTCGTCTTCTACTGACCAAACGTTTCTTGGGGCAACTGAAGAGGTAGTTAACAGCAAAATGTTTCTCATTAGAATCCCCCCACGTGCACACATTTATCAAACAAGTATAATCTGGATGAGAATGATAAGGATTTAGAAAAGCCGGTGTGATACTATCCAGGATCAGTTAGTCCATCCTACTTTTGTGCCACTTTTCAAAGCCACATTGGATTAAATCACCCTAAACCAGATACAAACTTTTTGAGATAAACAAATCCAAATTACGAGTGCTTTAAGTGGAACTACATTTCATAATGCAGGCTACACAGGTAACGACAGGAAAAATAGCCAATATGGGGCCACTTTAAGTGTTTTTATTAGAAGAGACAGAAAACAGCACAATAAAGTAAAACAAAAAAAAATCCTTTCCATTGATAGTTTCTTTTAAATAGTCAAAACTGTCATCGGACCCACCAGAAACAAATATTATTCACTGATAAACTGTGGATATTTTGAAAACGTTTTAAATTACAAAAAATCTAAACAGTTTATAGGTAATAAAATAAAGAACGTTCGTCATTTGGGGTGAGACTAGCTCTGCTTTTAGGAAGCATAACTATCTCTGATGAGAAACATACAGTAATAAAAACAGTTAAAATCAGATATATTACTTTGGTTTGATATTGACAGCTGATTGCGATATTATTTTACGTGGACAAAATATTTTTTCATACTTTAATGACCTGAAAGTTAACAGATGGCCTCATGTTGACTTTATCACTGTGATGGTTTAACAAATCAAACGATCAAATATAAACATGTGTACAAATACTACTATGGGCACAGCCTGTTCTCACTGTTGCCCTCAGGAAAGAAGTACCGGTCCATCCAGGCCCGCACATCCAGACTCACCAACACATTCTACCCAAGTGCAATACGGGTACTGAACGCACATTAGTCTATAATTTCTGTCTGTACTATTCATCGCAAATATTTATTATTTGCACTATACTATACTACATAATTACGTTTTAATTCTTATACATGATACTGTATTTTGTATGTACTTTGTTACTTATCATAATTATTTATTCATATTATTTATATTTCTCATATATCCACAGTGTTCCTACCCCAACAGTGCAATATATTTATTCTACCGTTTGGCTAACTGTATATACTTCCTACTGGCTCCTTTTGTAAATACATGTATATTTTCATATTTGTCTTTTTATACTTTTACTTTTTATACTTCTGCACCACTGGAGCTGTCTTAATTTCGTTGCACCTTGTGTATGATGACAATAAAAAGCATTCTATTCTAATCTATTCTATTCTATTCTATGTTCAAATGTTGTCTTGGTTGATCAGTTTTTAAGTTTCATCACATTTTGTTTTATGAATTCACACTTGTGCTGGGATCAGGATAATGCTGATGTTTTTTGGATGACGGGTATCATAAACCTCTAAAACGTTTTGAACTAAAGAACCTGAAGGGTTGATCCAGATCTAGATCAGGAGGTTCGGTTGCGTAATCTAATCCGATTTCAGCATCCTTTCTTATGTTTTAGGATTTGATCCAAGCCGATAGGCAAAAATGGATCAGATGACCTCTGAACACCTGAGTCTGTGATCAGATGAGCATTTCAGCTACAGGCAGGTGTTACCGTTGTCTTAATCAGGCTACAGCAGGTTCCTCATTGGACAAAAAGCTAATTAAAGATTGCAGCCAAAACAGCGTATATGTGTAAGTGTTAATGAAGCTGCCATTTTCCTAAGTCTATAAATCAGTTAAACGCCTCATACGTACCCTTTTAGCTTTCTCCCACACCTGGTTCAGCTTAGCTATCCTGAACTCCACTGTCTGTCCATCACTGCCGCTCGGTTTGGGCTCATTCACCTCCCGGGAGTATTTTCCAGCATTTACACCGACACCAAGACACAGAACTGCGACTAAACACTGCAGCCTCATTTTAACAATATCTATATAAACCGACGACAGAAAAGGAGCCAAATAATTCTTGGCTAGCCAACAAATTAGCCACACAACAGTATGAACGGTCTGTTGTGTCTGATTTGAGCACCACAAGTCATGTGCCTCGAAAGGGGCGGGAACTTCCTGAACAGATGCATTCTGGGAGATGTAGTTTGTGGCCTCGGTTTCTCTATTATTATTAAAGCGCATACGACCTTTTAAAAACTACAATTCCTGAAATGCCGCTCTGCGCGGTTACCAAGCAACGAAGCTGCAAAACCTGCGAGCAAATAGAAAGTCTCCACGCCTTTAAGGGACTGGATGCTGTATACACACACACACACACACACACACACACATATATAAATTTTTACAAACGTATAATATTTAAATTTCATTTGCAATTGCTGTATTACCAAATTTTTTTTTGGTGTGCAATATTCCAATTCTGTGCGCACTAGTTTATTATCATGCGTAATATTACTTTAGAATTATTGCCATTGTTAGTTGTTTTTGTTTTGTTCGTTTGCTGTTTTTTTTTTTTGGTCTTTTTTAGCTTAATTTTTACTTTCAGCAATTTATGGTAATCGAAGTTTTTGCTTTACTTTCAGCCACTACATTTATTGTTATATTATGTAACTTTGTTTTCTAAAAAAAAGTTGGGGCAGACAGTACAGCTCTTTGGAATGTTGTTTTTGGAATGCAAATTGCTTCATTAGTAATAGAAAAAATTCTTAAAGCTGCACTGAAATTTGACCTATTCCTCACAGTCTGTATATATTGCATCTATTGAAAACAAAAAGACCATAGTTTTTTGTTGCTTGTTTTTGTACAGAATCCCTGTAAAAGTATTCTATGTTTATTTATTTATGCAGATTTTTTATTTATTTATTTTTTTTTAACATATCTATATAAACACACAAATGCTGTTGTGTGTTAAATTAAGGCTCTGATGGTGTATGGAACTTATATTATTGTCTTTTTTCTTTTTTTTTGCTTCATTATCTATAAGCAAAGTAAAGTGTACTATATGTAACAGTACGTTTTCTGTTGTTTTTTTTTTTACATTTGACATAATAGAGTTAAAACAAAGGTCATAGGTCATGACGAATTTTTATACTGTATCAATTGAACCTCTTGAACTCATCTTGTCACAAAGTGTATAAATATAGTTTTAATAAACATCATAGGTTTTAATATAACTGGACATGTTTATATTGCATCATGTGTTGCAAGAAAGTCTGAAAATTTGTTATCTTTAACTCATTCAAAAGTTCTCAGGCACTGAAAGACTTTCAAGGAGTCAGAATGAAGAAATGTGAACACAACACAAACATTGTGTAGCATGCATGGAGTGTGTGGAAAATGCACACAGACACACACGCGTTCACACAGGTCTTTATGAAATAACGATTGATATTGTTCATCGCATATTCTAGACAGTCAGAGTAATTAGATTTACTCGCAGACAGAATGAGAGAAAGCTTTTCATTATTGATCCAGCGAGCCGGTCGCCTTGACAAAACTGTTTAAACAGCATTCATGCCAGTACACCGCAATAACTGAACTGAATTTAGTTAAATTATAATAAACTGGGAGAAAGAACTGGGAAAGGTAGATAGAGACGACAGACAGACAGAAAGACGTTATATTGCCTTGCCTTGATAAAATAGTTAAAGAATTCTCATGTCAATAAATCTGATCCAGCTGAAACTGAATTGAGCTGCAGCGTGTGTGAGTTAGAGAATGAATAATGGACTTGTGGGGAAGTACCAAGCAGCAGTTCACAATCACTCAGCAAAAGGACCAAAACAAATCACATAATTTGTCTGAGTAGTTTTAAATCAGCAATCTAACATTTATTAGAAAAGTCCTTCAATACTTATCTGACAGTTGAAATCTAATAAGGACTGTTATTTCAACAGAAATGCAACTTTAAGGTGTATTGGTCAAAAACAAGCCATCACTGTCAGACAGCAGTCAGCTTAATCATCTGAACGTTGACAGATTTTAATATGGATTTTATGAATTATGGAAACATAGCAGACCAAATGCAAATAACCCAAGTGTTTTATCATGTTCATTTGCATATGTAAAGCAATAAAAACAAGACCGCTCGCGAAAGATTCAAGAGTTTGTCACATGCTTACACAGTATGTGCAGTGAAATGTGAAGTGACTGCTCCTCAAGGCTTTGCAATAACAGCAAGAGATCATAAAAGAATATTCTTTAAAGACAATAGTCACAAAACGTCATAATGTCATAAATAATAAGGAGGTAGCGAATTTTATGCTAAAAGATGCTATCTTGATCTTTTCCAGCCCCAACAACTCCTCTATCTATTTTTCTCCCAGCCTTTTCTGTGTAACACATCTATTTACAGCTTCTCAGTCTAACAAGTTTTGGGTTTAATGAGCAAAAGTGTGCTCCAGATATCTGCTACTGATGGAGCCACATTTAATGAAAGTGTCTGGCTGCTGATAAGGACAGCCGGCGAGCATGAAAAGTCAACATCACCTTGTCAAAACCTCTGAAATTTTGTCAGGAAACTGTGTGAGTCCCATCGCAGCTGTGTGGCTCACCTGCAGCATCTCTGCACACTTCAGGAATGATGAGAGATGTTAAAATGTTAACTGATAGATAAATACAGTCATGAACACAGCTTGTAAAGACAGTCTTGAGTTTTCAATAGCTCCTGTATCTCATAATTTTCTATACTGGCATAATTGAAACACATTCATCTTTGTCACAAGAAACAGCCATGTATTTTGGTTCTTTCATAAATGAATTATAGATGTTTGCAAATATGAATAAAGTCTGCCGGGCCAAAAATAAACATACAGCAACTTGTATTATCCACTTTGGTGATGTAAAAAGTTGTGTTAATCCAATTTTCTTTGTGACATGACCTCTTAGCTTCTTGTGAATGATTATGATTAATGACAGTTGCTGACTTCTCTGAGCCAATTTAAATAGGGCCCATTGGATACATTCATCAGACTCAGGCACAAAAACTACAATGGGAAAGTCTAAGAAGCTCAAAACAGGTCAGAACAGAAGCAAATAAATGACTTGAACAAGTAAGGAAAGTCCATCCAGCCATCCATCCATCCATTATCTATACACTGCTTAATCCTCACTAGGGGGGCTGGAGCCTATCCCAGCTGACTCAGGGTGAAGACAGGGGACATCCTGGACAGGTCGCCAGTCTATCGCAGGGCCACACTTAGAGACAGACAACCAAGCACACTCACATTCACACCTATGGACAATTTAGAATCACCCATTAACCTCAACATGGTTTTAGATTTGTGGGAGGAAGCCGGAGAACCCGGAGAGAACCCATGCTGCACGGGGAGAACATGCAAACGCAGAATCCGGCGACCTTCTTGCTGTGAGGCAACAGTGCTACCAACTGCGCCACCTTGCAGCCCAGTAAGGAAAGTCACTTAGAACGATTACAAATCAGATCCCAAAATCACCAGGGCAAGCAGTTATTTGCCAGTGCATGGAACAGTTGCGTTACTGCAATGATCATGAAAAACACAAACTATTACCTGCTGCTGAGAGACAATTGGTCAGGATGGTCAAGAGTCAATCAAGAACCACAAAAAAGCAGGTCTGCATTAAATTAGAAACTGCTTGAACACAGCTGTTAGTGTCCATAGTCAAGTCTGCTTCACATCACAATGAACTGAGAGGCTGCTATGTAGATGGAAGCTTATCCTCTAGAAGACGAACCTTAGTTTGCTGCTGATCACATGGACAAAGACACTCTTCTGGAGGAAAGGTCTGTGGTGAGATGAAACAGGCCTTTCACCCCAAGAAACCCAACCTACCGTCATGCATGGTGGTGGTAGTATTATGCTCTGGGACACTTGGGTGACAGTGGAACTGCGGCTACCAAAAGTGCTCATTTGAGGGGAAAATGGCTAAGAAACATTTATCTAAATATTGCATTGCTGTAGGTATATTTTTAACCCAAATGATTTTGTCATATTTCCAGAAGACCTATGAAACAACCAAAATGTATGATTGTTTTTCTGTGAAAAGATGCATGTGTTTCAATGATCATTGAAAATTCTGAGTTATAGGAATCGTTGAAATCTCAAGAGTGTAATGATTACACATGGTCTATACAAGTGTATGTAAACTTTTCTTCACAACTGAAGCTTCAGGGGCATAACTTTTCTGAAGTGTCACTCAAACGTCGACCAACACAGATATATGCATAATTTTTCTCTCACAGCAATTGAGCAATGTTTGAGTAAAACTCCCCTTTAACAACAGATCAAAGTAATGGACAGACAGTGATATGGACAGAAATGGGCTTCTCTAGTTGTATTAAAGTTGGATAACTTGAAATATTTGGCCACAAAAATCCATAGAATTCAACTGTAATGTTGTATGTCTAAAGGAACAGAATAAGGGTGAGGAGTGGAGGTTGGCTTGGTTGTGATTAGGTGTCTGAGCCTGCAGAAATATGTGTCTGCAAGAGTCTCTGGAGTGGCAAGTCAAGAAGGAGAGAGGGATATTAAGCCGGTGGGAAGCTGCACAGCAAGCAGCCCACAGTACCGTGACTGTTACATAAACCAAGTTTGATGACGCCATCATTTTGTCTCCCTTTGGCTTTCATTAGGTGGAGGAGAGGTATTGGCCGAGGTTGGGGTTGAGAGTAGTGAGACGCAAAGGAAAGACAGAGTAGAAGAAAACAAGAAAGCAGAAAAGGAAGGAAACGAAAAAACAAAGAGACTGAGACAGCAGGTGTTTTGTCAGCAGGTCTTGTTGTCCTGTGGGTGTTAGGGAAAGTCATAATGAAATAAAAGATATATTCAATCACTGACCACGAACAAACACAGTCATTAAGACCAAGTGATTGCAATAAACAGGCTTCGATTATCTTATTACATGTGCTAATTTAACTGCAGGGAACAACAGGAGCAGACATCACATCAACTTAGAGTCTAGCTCGGCTCGAATTAGCGCCTCACTAATAAAACTTTCAGTGTTTCAAAAATCTTCTAACAGCCATTTCGTGGTTCTTTCAACAGTGCTGGGAACAGTTTCAGCAAATGTTAGGCAAACAGCCTTTTGCAGTGGCTGGTGGTG